CGATTACCTCATTTTTGTATCTTTACTTTTTGTTGAATACGCGACGGCATTAATATTCTATGAGGCTTTCAAAAAAATTTCAATGGTTTAATGGGCAATTCTAAGTGCGCGGTAATTGTTTTCAAATGTCTCTCCCTTCACAGTTGTGAAATAACTGAGGCTTTTAAAATTGTGAAAATATGAACATGAGTTTTCAACGGCACTCCTCCCTCTGTTGTATAACCATTAAAGTTGGTGGATGAATGTATGCGAGAAGTAATAAACATTTGTCCAAAGGAGAATGAAACAACTTTTGTTCTGTCTTGTTCTCTCGAGGGAGAGCTCAAAGAACTTTTCACTTGATTCGTTCTTGCGGTTTGATCGATAATCTCTTTCTGAATTTTCTTCATACTTTTTTTTAATCTTCCTGTTGCCTCGAAGCAGATGTAATTGAAGTTATTCTGGTTGTGTAATCAGCTGTCCGAAAGTCTTTGACTTCCATCGGGAGTAGAGCGACGATTTCAAAAATTGGGTCGTGGCCGCAATAATCAATTCACGTAAACGATTTATAGTGGAAAAACTTCCAATTGTTATAAATAATCGGGAGAGGATTTCCAAAAAAATGGAAAAATCGGGAATCACGAGGGAAAAATCCATTCATATTTCATATTATTATACAATAATTGATTGAGTTCATCTGAAATCGCGGATCCACCGGGTAATTGTCCCAATTGAAAAGCAAATTTATTGAAATCAAGATAAATTATTCTTCCTCAGTCAAATGATACTTCCCATTTATTCCACTCACAAACCGTGTCCTCATACTATAATTGCCCTTGTTCCATTTCACGGAGGGGAAAAACAACAATAAATATAAATTTGAAAAAAAAAAGAATAATGTGGGTCGTAAGTTGAGCCGTTGGTTATCTACAGCCACTAAATTCCCGTAAAAATCCACCGGTTGGAAAAATAAAAGAATCGTGGAACAATGGTTGGTGCTGTTCGTGTCGCAACATGAATTAAAAATATGTATTAACCGAATGGTAGGTATGAATATTCATAGACCAGTTTCGGATTTAGCAGGAAGCGCAAATAAAATTCGATTCATTCGTCACGGCTATTGTCTCCGCGGTTGGGAAAACCCGGAGCCTTTAGAATTTTTTCTTTCACCGATTCATCCTCTAGTTGTTCCTCATCTTTTCGATTCATCTCTCGGAAATTTAGCAGGGGTTGGCTGTGCCTGAAACGATCAGGCACTGATGAAACACATCGGGTTCGTTAAATATATCGGGCGTTGCAAATCTCATCTGAAAATTATCAGCACCCGGTTTTAGTGATTGGTTTTTTGCTCCTGGTTGACCATTTAAATTTCCACTTGGGTAATTGTTCTCATCTTTTCCTTCACTTTTCTCTGCCGTTGTTGTCATCGGTTTGACAAGGGCAGCATCTCGCTCGGGTGAATAACCGAGGGAATGGAAAATCTGTGACACTTTCGGAGGATTATTCACGGTTCAGTGGATCATTGTCAACATGTTTACTGTTCTACTTAGTGGAGTAATTGAGGTAGCCGGTGATTACAAACAATGGTAAACAATCATTGGTTTTTTTTTTGAAGATCAGGATAATTTCGTTCACGCATCGCAGGTTGTTTTTTTTTTTGGATTTTATTTGACTGCATCAATTAATTCTTGTTTCACAATGTAATTCACATGGAATAGAAAATTAATTAAAGTAATTAAAGGGTATTATTTATAGGATGATACGCCCTACTGGCAATTTTTACCCGAAACTTTTGGAGCGCCTGGAAATTTTGCGTTTTAATTTGGGAATTTTTCAATGAATTTAATTTCAGTAGATTGTCTCTTTGTAAATAAATGCTGGAAACTTTGAATTTAGGGAGAACCAGGTTTATAGAGTACAATGTTTCCAGTTACGAGTACGAAAGCCACGACTTAACGATCGTATATTCCATCTGTTTCTCGTAAACCTTTTGCAGTCTCCAAGGAAATGTACGCCTCCATAACCATGAAAACATCCCCAACTCATTCGAACTCCCATAAGTCACTCCTTTTTTCTTTACCAAACAGTTTACAACTGAAGTAATGATTACCTGGGATTATTTTACGGGGAGAATCGGTCAGTCTCGGTGCAAATTCTAAAAGCCCGCTCTGCAAACTTAGGGAATTACCGAGGATTTTCATTCTGGCGGGTCAAACAAATTCAAATGCCAAACTATTTGATCCAACTGAACTCCAATGTGCAGTGAGGGATACTAGACATGATTAGGAGCTCAACAAAATGTTCACAACTCATTCCCCTTCATCTGTTGATACCGACACGCGCCGTTGCGCGGAAAATCTAATATCTTCTTACACTTTCATGAAAAAACATCAGATCACGATTCTTGTTTTTTAAAAATAATCTTCATCCGTCCTAGATAAAAAAAAAATAATAATAATCATATAAAAATATAGTAAAACATTTGCAGATTAAAAAGTTCTGTTGGATCGATGTTTTTTCTGGCGATTTCAAGTCCTCGATTTTTTTTTTGTTGGACATTCGTTGATTTTAACAATTTATTGTGAAGACGAGAATTTTCTGGGCAATCATGTTATCGGAATAAAAGGGATCCGGATGTTTTTGCTGTTCATCTCCCACCGGATGTTTATGGAATTCTCTTTGTAATAGTTGTATAAGGGTTTGATGATTGAGTCATTACAGGGTCGATTAAACGATTTATCGTCTCATGACATGCACCAGTTGCTTTATTCGTCTCTGATGGCTCATACTATCCTTAATACTCCAACTTACAACAAGAAGATGAGAATGTCTTAATTCAATCGTAAAAATGTCAATCCACAAATTTATTTTCCATACAAATCCTCTTCAAGGTAACAATTCGCTCAACAACATTCAAGAATAGATACCAAATATTCTGGTTTTAAATTTATTCTCGGGAAGATATGCATCGAAAATTTACTGTTTTGTTTTATTTTCCCAAGATGTCGAGCATTTGGCACGGAAAATTCAGACGAAAATGTTTAACAATTTGCGAATGAGGAGGTGCATGACGTAAATAAATTCTGTGAGGATGAGATTAATTCGGAGTGCATGAGAGTAATTTGTATAATTTTTGTTTGATTCGCGTGAGGAGAAAAATAGAGCTCGTTATCCCAATCTGGGTACAAAGACTGGGTCAAGCTTTATCAAGACAACTTGAGAACACACGTGTCATATCAATCTAGGTGTACTTAATTTGTGCCGAGATCTTAAACTTATTCACAACGTAAAGGACTGTGGCGTGTTGTTGCAAGTATTATTATCTTCCAAGATATCGGGTTCAAACGAGTTGAAGAGCGTATTTGTCTGATTTAAATAAAAAATAACATCTTGCGAAACTTTATCCTTCAATGCTGATAATGACTTCTTCTCAGGTTTATCCTGCAGTAAATAGGCCAATCGAATTCCTCACGAATTCTTCACGAAAATAAATCCAGGAACTTCGCCTATTAGATTTTTTTCAAATTTACGTATGAGAATTCACGTGCCCCAAAAATGTTATCGACTTCCAGTCTCCAACGGATAAAAGACGACAATGGAGTTAAAATTCTCCCAAAAAGATGCTGTTGCCTATTTTTTTTTTTTTTCTGGTCCCGGTGGGCAAAAGGCCAACAATTGATGCCAAAATTCTCGGGTGAAATAATTCTCCCAAGTCTGTTGTCTGAAAGGCTACGTGTATACAGCTCATAAATGTTTTTTTTCTTCTTCATCCTCAACTCAATTCTTTTATCACTTGTTTTGCTCGTGGAGTTTTTTTTTTTACACTTGTTAATAACGAGTGAACGAGCTGAACGTACTCGAAATGAATCAGGCGAGCTGCTTGTGATTCGGTTAATTGAGTAATATTCCTGATGACGTAGGACTCGGGAAGATACAGAGAAAAAAAATAAAAGAGATTGTGGGGATGTTATCGCCGATGGGCTTGGCTTGCGGGATGGACCGTCGTAAAATTAATTTATCATTTCGTTCTCCGTTACGCATGAAAATCAAATTAACTCCGTCATTTACATTTTGCATTTTGAAGAATGCAAATCGAAGTAATTGATTAGCTTTTATCGATTTCTCGAGGGATTCTAGGATTTTATGCGCGATTCTATTTCAATTAAATTTAATGGCCATCGAGATCCTGAGACTAAATAACTGTTTTACTTATTCTCAGCATTTTTATTTTTAAGAGCTGAATAAAGTTGTGAAATTTTCGATTTATTTGCCTCCTATCAGAAATTTGTTTCCCAATTAACAAACCTTATCGCATGATTACTCATAGATTAGTGAATTCATCAAGATAGTACCCACTCGTTCTTTTCACTGGTCTGGAAAATCCAGATATGTTTCGACAATCAAACAATCAGGTAGCAGTGATAAATTTCCATCTCGAATTATTTCAGGCACCCGATAAATCCAGAATTCAAGTTGTTACACTGTATTGTAATAAAAAAAACAGGGGCAAAGGGGGAGGGGCGAGGACTGATAAGAGAATTCATTCTGATCTTGAGAATTTTTCTGACGTTGAAGTGCGTTATCAGGGGCGTCAAGTTGGCTCGCCTCGTCATTTCTTCAGAGACACACAATTTCCTATTATATGCAGAGTCATATGTATGAATATAATAATAGACGTGACGCAACTCGATGCATCGATTACAGAATAAAAAAAAAAGTAGGCGTTGTTCTCATGGAATCGCTCTATTTTTTTTAAATCAACATGTGACACTGTTTCCCTTTCGTCGAAGGAGAAATTCCCCCTCCAGTTTAATGATGATTGAATACTTGATTTTTGTTTGAAGAGGAAAAAAAAAGGACTCGTTGGCCTCCAAACAGTAAAAACCGGTTGTACTCAGGCGTTTGCCACATGAGAACTGCAATTATGGAGGAAATATATCGGGGGGCCTTGGGGTATTCGTGAATTTGAAGGATTGAATTTTTCGGGGGAGCTAATGGAAATTAATTTTTTTATTTCTCAGACACATATGTTGCTGATGGATGCCTTCCTCCAGAACAATCGACTGGATCATGTCTCCCACGTTATGTCCTCTCACGGATCGTATTTGGAACATTTTCTCAGGACACAGAACTTTGTTCTACGTGGGGATGGACCACTGCCCTATGACTACCGACATCTTATTGCCATTATGGTGAGGATCCTAAAGTATTCAAAAATAAATATAAAAATAATAAAATAGTCGTAATAGGGTGATTTGAGTTGAGAATTCAAGATGAATGATCAATTAGGAATTATCTAGAAAAAGATATTTTGAAATGTTAGTTAAAGTTTATAATTGCTTTGGCCTGAAAAGTTAAAAGTAAAATAAGAGGCTAGTAGTTATGATGCGATATTGCATGGGGGTTTGAACGACGGTCCGCTGTCCAACGAGTAAGGTCATGAAAAGATAAAGTCTAGTAATCCAGGGTTCACTGAGACTATATATTTTCCAAGTATCGAGGAAGAAACTCCCACAATTACGATAGAATTCGTCTAAAAATACCTCAAATTAAATTGGTCCCTCAATCCAAGAGGAAACCGAGGAAATCACTGTATTAAAGTGGCAGTAATATAATTCAACAAATTATCACCCACCGTTCGTCAATAAAATTTATGTGACGTTTGAGTTAAACTTTGACATTGCGATTCTGTTGAATTTTTTTTTTTTATTTATTAGGTACAGTGTTTCCTATAAATCTTTGAAAGGTTCAGGGGTTATCGAATCACAAAGGAAGGCATTGAGACCACGTGGCTCAGTAAAAACAATCGTAAAAATTATTGAAACTCAATAAATTGAATAACTAGTGAGAATATTTGCAAAACACGTTTACCAGTGGTGTGCAAAAAAATTTCACAACGTGTTAAAACGTTTGTGATAAGGAGATTCATCTCTGTTTCCACTGTCGTCAAGTTTTTCAATGAGACATCTCACTGAAAATACTGGCCTTGAGTGAGCAATGAATAAACACGAAGGTGTATAATAGTCACATTAACTCGAAAGAAGAGAGAAAAAAAATTATTACTCACTGATAAATTGACGAGCAAATATGCTCACAGCTTTTCACAAGTGAAATGAACTTTATCATGAAGCCACGTGGTGTTTATCTAAATTTTTTATCGGATATAATTCTCTCGCACTCTATTTTTTTCGTATTCGCGATAACGTGTTTTCGACAAATTATCGTACAATCAGTTATTCTAATGGAAAAATACCAGCTCCTCAGTTTGATCGATATCTTCGGTGAATAATTCGTGAATGTAAATATCACGTGAATCCTTTCAACTTAAATTTTCTTCTCCACTGAATTCCCTAAGTAATTCGTGCCATTGATTAAATATGAGAGATTACAAACCATAATAGGTGGACAGAAGAATAAAAAGGTGATAAGGTTTAAATTTAAAAAGTCAATATTTGCCTGTGCAATTGACGTTCAGTGCCTGAGGGAATTTTCCGCAAAGTTTCTCTATGATATCCGCTAGTTCGTAATTATTTTCACTTGGAGAACAATTTGTGAATTCTCTTCGCGCTGGACTTATCTGTTTTTATCTCTCAACATGGAAAAAAAAGGAGCATTAATTCAATACAATCCGACTGGTGTGCTCGTTCCAAGAAACGGAGACATTTTAACTCTACATATTGAGTTCATGCAATCCCTCGAGAAGTGACCCGAGGCAATAAAATACTGGTAGTCTTCTTGTAGATATGGCCTTGTTAGCGATCATTGACGCTGCAGAGAGAAACAGTAATTCAATTGGTTTATGTAATTGTTTTTTTTTTTTCTTCTACTGTGCAGGCTGCTGGAAGGCATCAGTGCAGCTACTTGATAAACCTGCAGAAGGGAGAGTTTCTGGTGCAGGGCGGAGATCCCACCTGGCTACAAGGACTCAGGTCGTTACCAGCTAAATTACAGAATCTGTATGAGATTAACAAGATTCTCGCGCACAGGCCGTGGTTATTGAACAAAACTCACATAGAGGTGAGTAAAAACAGTAAAATTGTAATTGCAATAATAAATGGAGAAAACGTGAACTATTTCTTCTAATATCAGGCAATTGTTGAAGGACAAAGAAATATTTTCTCTCTGGGGAAATCCCAGAAACTCAACAATTTGCAATTTGTTAAGATATTTAAATAACCTTGAAATGGTGGAATAATAAAACCGAAACTAATGGACCAGGGAGAAAGTAAAAGAAATGGTTGGAGCGATTTCATTCGAGATTTCATGGGATTTAAAATTCGTCTGTACAGATTATTACCTGGAGAAAATACATTTTATTTGAAATTTCTTTCGAGGAGATTGTTTAACCACTCGGTATTTATTATTCATAACTCTAAATTGGTCAACCAATGTTGTTTTGTTCGCAGAAATTGACAAAAGGTGCGGATAGCTGGTCACTGGCTGAAGTAGTTCACGCGATAGTCTTACTGGCGCATTTCCACTCCCTATCATCTTTTGTATTCTCCTGTGGCATTAACGAGGAACTCGACAATGTCACAGGTCATCATTATAAGGAGAATGTACAGGACAATAGCAATAATGTGCAACCTGCCAAAGACAAGCTCGTAAGCAGCCCCAAAAAAATACCCACGGGCGGTGGCAAGACTGGTAAATTTTTATCACTAATTTTTTATCACAACTTGTCTTGTAATTCAATCTAATTAGCGTATTTTATCGCAGATACCACCCCGTCACCGCCATCTTCACCGAGTATAGTCGGAGAACAGGAGGTAGGAGTGGAAACCCTCATGGAGAGAATGAAACGTCTCTCGGAAAAATCAGAGTCCTATCAGATAACTCAGGAGGAGCTGTCGAAACGATTTGAAACTGTTGAGACGCAGTCTGCGGAATTGGCAGCTGCACCCCAGAGAAGTAGTAAAGTTCTTGATTCTGATATTGGACTTTTCATAGACGATCCCACCTTCATATACCAAGACTTTGCTAAGAGAGGACAATTAAATGACATACCGACGTTTCGTGTACAAGACTATTCCTGGGATGATCACGGTTACTCCCTGGTAAATCGTCTTTACAACGACGTTGGGTATCTCTTAGACGATAAATTCAAAACCGCCTACAATTTGACGTACTACACGATGGGGACACACAGCAAGGTCGACACATCTCGTTTCAGACGAGCAATATGGAATTACATTCAGTGTATGTTTGGCATCAGGCATGATGACTATGACTACAATGAAGTCAATCAGCTCCTCGAGAGGAGTCTCAAGACATTTATAAAAAGTGCTGTCTGTTATCCTGAGCGAGTAACCAAGAGGGATTATGACAGAGTCATGAGAGAGTTCAAACACAGTGAGAAAATTCACGTGAATCTCATGATTCTCGAAGCAAGAATGCAAGCTGAACTTCTTTATGCTCTTCGTGCTGTCATGAGATATATGACCTAATCTTGAGGACAATGTCGATTTAATATTGATGAATTTTGATCATTGATTTTTATTCATCGATTGAGACTTTCAGTGATGCCTTGATGCTCCTCCAGTGACGAGAGATCAAGAGAATTTCATCGGGCGGTTTCACAACAATACATAGTGACAGAGGGAAGAGCTGAGTGTTTACAAAATTTATTGGCAAGATACGAGAAATTGGAGTCACCAGTGCGTGGCACTATGAGTCATTTTTGTCGATTTCCAAAGAGATTGGGCGTGATTTTGGTAAGTGGGCGGAAACATTTTGTCGAGTTTTTGGGTGGAGCAGATTTGTCGATTTCAGTTTTGCGAAAATGTCAGGAAAAAATAGTCAATGACTCGAGATCTGAACTTTGCAGTTTGTGGGAGATTAGCTCTCGTGATGGACGTCGACGTTATTTTTTCCACTTCTTCCTGATTTTTCAAAATATCATTTTGATTGAATATTATTTCTCTCTGCTTGTCGCTTGCCGTGGGCGTTGAGGGGGAGGTGGGAGGGAAAATGGTTGAAAGACAATTAGTGAGACGTTTTGAGCTAGTGACAGCTTTGAATAAAAATTAAATTATAAATTTTCAAGTGAATAAGAGTGGGAGTGATGTGTAAATTGTAAGAAATTAGGATTTTTCAATTGTAAAATGGAGGAGAGTGATTGGAAATTATTCATTTTAACCCCTTATCCAAGAACAATGGGGCTTTTCAATAATTTGTAAATAATAGATTGTGTATTATTGTATATTCGGCTCGTTCCTACTTTTTTTAAATCAAATTATCTATTTTTATTGTTTTCGAGCTGTGCTTCCACCAGCTCGTCTTTATTTTTTATTTAAATTGTCTCTTTCGGAGGAAATTGTTGACCAAAAGAAGAGAAATATTTGATTCTGCGAGTAGAGATGCATTTTTCATCTCGAATCGGTCTTGTCGGTGTTTGAAATTTCAGTGTTTTTATTTTGTCCGTTTATTCATTAAAAAATATTTAGAGTCGACCGCCCAATTCATCTCGTATTGTAATTAATTGGAGTGACGATTTAAAATGTGACAGAGTCTATTGTAATAATCGTAAATGGCCGATGATTAATATGAAATATATAATATATCTTTCATTGCTTCTGTTTGGGTAAATGTAATTCACGTAATTTTACCCTTCAATGAACAATCGTGTAAATAAGAGGATTGTGCTCTTGGATTGAAACGATATTTAGCCACAAAAAATACAAGACAAAGAGATAATGGGATTAATCATTTGAGAGAACAAATTCATTGTAATTTTGGGAAATTCCAATTATTGGAAAATTTTACGTAATCGACAGATCGTAGAAATCAACGAATATTCATGCCTTCGATGTTAGGATTGAAATTCAATGGGATCACTGAATTTTTTTCAGTGAACAAAGTTGCAGAGATTTTGAGAACATAATCTCCAACACTTCTTGAGAGTCAATTGATTTGATTTGAACACCTTGAATAATCACTCGTTTTTTTTTTTTTTGAGAAGTTGAAGGGAAATAATCAAATCCACGTAAATCACAAGGCATAAAACGAATTAATGTTCTGTGATCGTATATTGAATCATATAAATAGAAGGAACGGATATATATTGTATACATTTGGGGATATTTGAAGAAAAAATGTGGAGAAATTGTAAAAATTCATCTAGAAATTAACATTGTCTATTGAAAATCTTTAACCGTGTGTGCGCTAGAGTAGATTTCCATCTGAGATCCCATAGAAAAATTGAAGTATGGAATAATGGAGGAAAGAGAAGAATGAAGGAGTTGGATTAGTGATGAAATTGACCAACCAAATTGATGAATCGTACCAAAATTTTCGACCAATAGCCGAGACATTGAATTGTATTTATACCATAAAACCGTGTTTACATATCAGATAGGCTCGCGTCGAGAGATAAACAGTGTAGTAACTCCTCCCTCCTACCTCCTCCTTCTCGAAAAGGAAAATGTCCCTTATCAATAGTTCATCGTGGTTAACTCCCACTTAAAATTCAATCGATGGAAATTTTTTTTATGATGTCGGAGGAAATTACATTTATTTTAAGCTGGCACCCCCCGAATAATTTTTGATCGATAATCATAAAAAATTTGATAGCAGTAGTGCATCAGTATTGAGTTTAATAAAAAAAAATCGCGTTCTGCCCGATAATCCGATTTGCGAAATTATTAATAAATGAAAATGGCAATTTGGCAAATAGATATTTTTCGTCATCATCGCTTGCATTTGTCGCCTCGGGAAATAAAACTTCTTACATGTAAGAAGATTTAGAGTAAAAATTTTCCATTCTTCTCTTTCTTCCCCCCATCCCCTCCCCATCTATTCTATCCCCAATCAATTCCATAAAACACTAATAAAAACTCAATAAAATTCAGGGTCCGTGGTAGAAATACGATTAAATTCATAAAATCAAAATCGAGGGAACAAACGCAGAAAGAGAAAATTCAATCAATTTCAAGTTAATCGTAAAACATGATTCATTTTTCATTGGATATATCGTGGTTTATAGGTTTAAGATATTCAGTACTAAGTCTCACAAATATTTGTCCTCTGATGACTCTGATAATGAGTTTCAGTTACGATAAAGAGTAGTTTAGGCAGAGTTCAGTAGTGAAATGTATCTCGAAAATGAGAAATTAAGAGAGATATAACAAGAGGTTTCGTCATTTTGTCTCCTAACACCACTCACTTGTCCAAGTTATTCACAGATGAAAATGAATTCACTCTCGATTTATATATTTCCCATGCGCATCTCTTGTCTCCCCTAGTTTTTTACCTTTCACTGTCTTCTAACCATTCTTTTAATCATTCATCTCATCTTACAATTATTTCTTTTTAAGATCGGTCCCTTATTGGCATTTGGCCAAGACCCTGTGGAGAATTCACAGGGCGTATTTTTTTTTTAATAAGTTAAGGAAACAAAACATGAATGAGGATATGCGTTCCACCCAGTTAATCACCTGATTTTATTATTTCACTCGTGAAGAAATTAAGTGATGACGTGCATCCTCATGCAATGATCTCTTCGAGGGACTGAGCGAGAAAAAAAGTGAATAAAACTGTTTTTAACGATGAAAAAAAATGAAAGAAAGATATATCTATATATAAATATTAAATCGAGATACTTGTCTTGTATTTCTAATGAATTTTTTTCTCCTTTTTGTACTCAAAGGCACGATGTTGGTTCTTCGTGGACGAAATAACTAACGAGTGAAATTTGTAACGATTAATTTCGATTGTTGATATGAAGTAATGCGAAAAAAACGTGATTTTGACGATGTAACAGTGTTAGAATGTAGAATTATTTTTGAGTCTTTCTTAACCATACGACGTATGGATTTTCTCTATTTTTAAGATAAGTTCTTCAGTGGAATGATGAAACGTAGCAAATAGAATTCATTTCAGATGGAGTTATCTGCAGAAAATAATAAGAATAATTTGGCTGATGGTTAATTTTATTCTCTTACTATTTTCTCCTCAGATCACTCGCAATGGAAATACCTGGAGCTCCAATGAGCATAAAAATAATGTACTATTCTGTTACGTTTTAGCAATTCACTGCTAAACTGTAAATTGAGGTGATGTTGAATAGTAGGTTGAACCAAGGCTTGTGTGATTTGATATTTCAACTCGTGAAGAGTGACCAGAAAGTTGAGCAGTTGAATTAGATCGTGATATTTCTAACTCAAATAAACAAAATAAATATTTCTTTTTAATCACAACACATTAAGATCGAACTCCAGCTTCGTACCACACGCAATTCAAAAATATTAATTATCAATAACTCCATTTTTTAATAATTTATTCGTGGAACAGAGACGAGGAGAAGGCGAGGGGAGAAACAAAGCGAAAAATCTCATTTTAACTGACACTAATAAAAATATTGTAAACCGTACTTTCACTATTGTCACCGGAACGCCCTAAACAATCAGAATGAAGGCATGCATTATGAATACCAGTAAAGTTTCATTGAGAAACCATAAATAGAGCTGCAAACTAATAAAGTACTGATAGGTATTGAATTGACAGAATGTAATTATCCTATAAATGCCACCGAAAAACAGAATAGAATGATCGTGTGATGATTTCAAGCGATTGGGATACTGGCCCTTCCGAGAATTCTTGGACTGGACAGACAAACAATTTCAATTGTAATGGGATAATAGCGATCAAAGATCGATAATGACGTTGCACTTGACATCAAATCCCCAACCAATAATAACTTGTTTTTTTATATTTTTCCAGAAAATATTCACTGACTTCACTGACTCGATTAAGCTCTGCGGTCATTGCCTAATCTTGTCATGATTCAGCTGCATAAATAATCACAATTAATATTTTTATTTTCACTCATTCATTTATCGATTTGGAGGTTTGATTGTCAGTTATGGGGGGAGGGTCATTTGTGATGTGATTTCTTTTATATCGTAAACGAACAATGAACACTAAGAAATGTTATAGTTTCATATAAACGATATGTTATTTGTCATTTATTTTATCCCTTAATAAATGATGTTATATAAAAAAAAATGATGGCTCTGTTTTTTTTTTATTTATTTTCTTCTCCTGATATTTTTATTTATCTAGGTCCACGTATACACGTAAAATGACATCAAACATCGAATGATTACTCATCATTTTGTTAATGAAGTGGTAAACAAGTTGAAAATTGGTGGTCATTCTGCTGGTCTTCATAAACGACTAATTATCGTGCTTTTTTACCACTTCACGGCTCATTTAATGACTAATTTAAATTAATTATATGCTAGCAGTTGTTGTCGGTTTTATTTACATTTTAGTCTACGTGTGCTTCCTTACTTCAGCCCTTTTGGCTCATAACTGAAACAGGGAAGAGGACGAAGACGTGTGTTACAGCGAGTGTGCAAATGACGCATTCATCTTCAGCTTGAAAAATTTTCATGGATGTGAAAGACAACTGGGCGCATTAGAGGGAATTCGTCAGGGTAAAAAGGGCGGACAAACCGTGAGGAATTACCTGGAATCGCGAGAACATCCTGACACATTCATGAACATTTATTTCAGCCTTTTTATGCAACAGTGTCGACAATTCTCATTCATCATTCATCACTATACAAAATTTGTTTTGAGTTTTTTTTTTTTTTTTGGAGGTTGATTAATGAGTACTTTCTTGCAAACGATGATTTCGCGAGTGAAGAACCGGTGGGGTGACATACTAACGTTTTTGTCAATTTCCATCGTATTCGTGGGGTACATGATGATGCATATGAATGTGAGCTGGTAAATCTCCGGAGATACCCAGGCTGCCTCTCTGAAAATGAGAAATTTCGTTCCACGTCTACAATTTCAAAGCAATAGTCAAAACGACTTAAAGATAAACACGAGTTTTTCTTTTGACTTTTTGGATTTCACCCTCAATTTTATCCCTTGAGTATTCATCATTCAATTTTTTTCAGTCACCTGAGATCTCATCCCATTGAGAGGAGTGGCAGTTGGATTATCTAGGGTGTAGCCGACAACATGTGTCGAGCACTTTTCACAAGCTTTTCGACGACGTGATGACGCACGACACCGTAATGCACGACACAATTCACGTGCCATTTCCGAGCACAGTGATTCCTGATTATTCGAGTTTTGCTGCTGTGGATTTTGAGTGACAGTCTGCAAAGACCCTGAGCACGTTGGGGGTGGTTGTACAGCGTGTGTCTCCTGCAAATTTCAATGAAAATTGTTACATTAACTCCACTTAACTCCCAGACTCCATTCCTGAGTGAAAGTTTAATCTCATTCCCTCGATGATGTTGACGCACTACCAGAAAAAATAATGACAAAAAAAAATGAATCTCACGCATGAAACAATTTCATCCCCGAGAGAGAAATTCTAATTATTGCTGTGAGAAAAGATTAGAGTAACGATATCATGCGCTGGAAGCTAATTAACTTAAAGCACAAAACGGTGGCCAGAAAAATTAGATCTGGGGCTTCTGACTAGACTCGTTAAATGTACCGAGAGGTTTGTATTTGAAGGGACTCTCACCTTTCATTCCATCGATTCCCCTGGACTCATGCTAGTCGAGTTTACACGACGTCAATCAATGAGTTCGTGCTTTTCATAATCATGCAAAACACAGAGCAGCTAATGAATATTCATCATGCCTCTTGGGAATTGAAAAAAATACTCATATCTCTTCATCACTACTTACACGTTCCGATGGCGAATGTCTACGTGAATTATAACAAAATTCACATATTGCCACTAGAACGGCAAAGGCTAGGCCACAGAGTAAAACAACAAAAACTCCACCTGAAAATTATAGAGATCAATCAATAATTAAATTATTCATCGCAAGACAAGATAGCGTATCCCCATTGAAATAATTTTTTCTCACAGTGTGAGAGAAAACTTATTCATCAGATCACACGATTTTAAACACGAGATTATTTTATCGCATCGATAAAATCGTTGTACCAATATTCGCTGGACCCAGGGCATTGGCTTTATTCTCCTTGCCCTTTTCCTTCCTCTTGCAGGTATCACCAGGACTCTTCCACCACTTGTCATACAGCATTTGAATCTCTCCCTTCTCCTGCAGCTCCAGTATGGCAAGTGATATTTTATCTCTCCACGGCGAACCTACTCACATTTTTAACAAGGAATATTTCAATTGTCACGTTGCAATCATATTATTCAATCATATACCCACCCATCGGTGTTGCTATTCCATAGCCCTTGCTATCGAGCAGTGCCCCGATCTGTGTGAGATTGCAATCTCTTTGTACGATGTAATCAAGCATTGTTGATTCCATCAGGAAGGCGTAATTACCCTGGAGAACGCGTTGGATCCCTTCCTCATAGGTTGGCACAAATGCCGATGGCTTCTTGTTCTCCATGAACCGCCACATTTTTTTGTATGTCTCGATCATTGAGTCCTGGGTAACGAGAACAATCAATCGATCAATTGTCGATTATTTTTAAATTATTGAGTATTGCTGGTTGATAAAATTTTTTTAAATTGCATTAATTGCACTTTCTCGTGCTTATGATAATGAACTCACTCGAAAAAAGGTCATGGTACTACCACTCTCCAATGTTCCATAAGTGATATCAGTTTGTCCAGCAAGATCGTCAGCATTTTCGATGGGCGTTATCATTCTCTCGACGGTGAGAAACGCCGCTAAATTAGCCGTATAAGACGATATAATAATTAACGTAAAAAACCACCATATACCACCGACTATTCTGGTACTCGCCGCCTGGAATTAATTAAATTGCACTTCAACCGGGGTATCATTTGAGACAAAAAGGATGAGGCGAAAATGGGCACGATGTGGGATGAAAAGAAAAGGGGAAAAAAAATATATATCTGTGTGCATTTTAGAAAGCGAGGGGTGTGGCGCATGAAGTGCACCTAGACAAACGAGTTGAATAGAGTGAGGGAATAAAAATAATGGTAAATGCGATCTCCTCTACGTCGAGAGTTCACGAGGAGATAGGGGTACACCAGTATTGCAATAGTGAATTGCAAAACGGCACGTCCTGAGGTTTTATTTGGATAAGATGTATTGTATCAAAATGTCTCGCGTGTTTTTTCTTCCCTCTCCAATTCTCCATCGCGTGCTTTGTCAGACATTTTCCGAGAAAATATGGAAGAAAAATGATGCACAAGTCTTTTTTTCTGGCCGCCCGGGGCAATTGAAAGGATTCTGAAGCCACAAAAATTGAGATGAATTGTTGTTCGTGTCGATTTCATCGTCGTGCACTTCATATTTTTATCATCCGGCGAATTAAACGGCTAATCGGGTCTAATAAGGTACGGCAGTTTAATTGAATCGTTAGCGTCACTCGAAACTAATCAAGGGGAAATTGGTCGCCATTCGTAATGAGAACGTGATTGCTGGGCCTTCATGAATACATTATCTGTTTTCCATGCACCGGAGGCTATTATTTGTCGACTTTTCCAACTTGCAATCATAATCAATTCATCATCATTTTAATCAATCGGCAATCGAAATTGGAGAAGATTATCTGAATTCTTAATTTTGTTGTGCAAATTTTTTTATTTCCAAATCGATTGAAGTAGATTAACATTCTATCTTTTGCCCCCGGTGCCTGAAAAAAATTATTCATGACTTTTTTTTTTCTCAATTGAGGAATGAATGTAGCTTCGACACGCATCATAAATTGACATCGTTATGAACCCGGGGAAATGTGAAATATCAATCACGATCTGTTCGCATATGGTCAGCGAGATAAAAGCCAATTTCTCTCGCATACGGTTTTTTAGTAGTCGAGTAATGGTTTACGGTTTTGTGGCGAGGTATAAAAGTATTATGATTTTTTTTTTGTCCACCGGGGATGTTCATTCTGCGGAAGTCGACTGAGTGCACAATTATCGAGGGCAATACACGTGCATACCACACAAAGAGAAAAAATACTTGAATTTTTTAATATTCTGGACTTGATTCTACTAGAATTCGCGCCTAGAATATCCAACAATCTATTTTCAATGGGATGTCTATGGATATTTTTTTAAATTTATTTTTAGAAGCCGGGATAAATAAATAAAATAGTCAGGACTGAGGGTGGAATTTTTTTTCATTTTCATATCGTATTGGTAAAAATAAATGTGAATAAATAAAATATATGTGAAAGAGGAATTTGTTCGGGGAGGATTTACCTTGGGGTTGAGATCGCTTCCTTGTTGCATTAGTGTTCCAATGGTGAACCAGAAGCTGTTGGACAGGGAAAATTGATTTTCAACGATTTCAGGACCCGAGTGGCCATGACAGGGGTGAGGATTGTTCCATTCGTAAGGGCTGAATCTCGCTACCACAAACATTGTCACAGATACCAGAACATAAGCGGCTAGCACATAGAGCCAGATTTCAATCGCTAGAGGATTCATGAAAGAGAATAGTCTTGCTGGATGACTCGTTGGCACCTGAAAATCAAAATACATTCCGCAATGACTTAAAAAACAGTAACTCACCTTCAAACCGAGAAAAAAAAATTCCTGGAATTCACCCAATTATCGAAAAAAATGTATAAAATATATGGAATATAATTATTACAATTATAATTAATGGGCGAAGTAAATACACCGGAGGGATGGTAAAATGGGGATCGATTGAATCAGGACTTTAGTACAAAGCGTATCTTCTAATTTGACCTATCAAGTAGATAATGTATGCATGAATTGTAATTAGCTGTTGCTGATAATCGTTTACAGAATTTTTCATCCACATGCCTGTGGTAATTTTTCAACAGTTTCAATTAGCCTGTGTGGTACAAAGAGCTATTTCCTTCGGCCACAACTGCACGATCACTTTGGAAGCGTTAATTAACAGGCCTAATTGCTCATGCATTTCGGGAGGCTTTCGTTCACGTACTCATACATGCATTTTCGTACTATCGATCGTCCGTACATGTTTGCACGTAAGCGATGCTGTTATCGGAGTCTCAGTGTTGTGGCGAATTTCGATGAGAAAATCATTTCAGTGGCTTGGACGAAATACAAATTTCATCAATTTTGGAAAATTGGTAATTGAGATAAACAGGCAAGGTCACAAGTGTGTTGAGGAATTTAATAACAATCTCATTTGAATTCTTATCTCAATCGAAATGGGTCAGGTGTGAATTTAATTTGAAGAAATTATATTTCTCGCTCAATGCCCACATTTAATTTATTTCCCAGCGGAGATTTTTTTTATTGAATTATCTGGTAAAAATGGTTGTTAACTTTTTGGTGGATTTAGTGCGCTAATTGTGATTCAATTTATGTCCCTGCGGGCGATAGAAACGTCCACTGATCGAAGCGTTCTATATTTCACAGAGAAGTCTACACTGATGGATCGACGTATTTGATGGCTCAAAGGTAGAACGCACCAAATGATGATGGACGAAAGCTTTCACCGGTAATAATTGTAATTAATTGCTCACCCCAATGAGGATATTCTCCAGCAAAAGACAGTGATTAAATTAATCGATAAAGGGAATCTTATCAATTGCTCGGAATAACTCAATCGATTCTCCATCGTACTCATTGATTAGTGGTAATTTCAGACCTTTTTTTTTTATTCTCGTTTACTGTTCCCCCGGAAATTGAGGGTGGAGTGGAGAGGGATGATTCAATATTTTTATCCACATTATACGGACGATAAACCTGAAAAATCTCAACCGTAAACTGTCGTTAGAATTCCCTTAATGAAAATCTTAATTATCATGTAATTTCGAAGCAGAATAAAATTTTATTGTTTTCATTATAACACAATGAAGACTATTAAATGAGTTTATGGAGGTGATTTAACGTATTTCCCATAAAGCATTTTTTTAATGAATAATACTCCCTATTTTTCTTTAATTAGAAAAAAATCCTGGGAGTAATGAGATTAACGAGGAAAAAGCAGCAGCTCAATTTCATCTCTGTGAATAATTTTGTTTTCATTCTGTATGTGTTTAGAGGTGAGGATTATTTTCTGATTTTTCCGGAAAGCTATCGATCTTCAAATGCAAACTCGTGGTGTTTCTCTTAATACATGAATTTTCCCGCAATTTTCCCGATTCAGTATCATATTTTATTTATCTTGTTAGTGGAGATGAAGTTTGGAGAGCATCAGAGCAGATAAATACGCAGAATTTTCGAGCCGAGGTAATTTGTAGCTCGCGGTATGTCAAAGTGAGTGGAAAACCCAAAGGAAAGTGGAAAAGTACTCCTCTTTGAATAGTCGAACGAGTAATTCGCGTCATTAGGGGGGTAATGCCCCGGAGAATTTTTCGCCAGTACTTAATTGGCAAGTACTTCAAGAGTTTGTCGAGTTCTTCAGGAATTAATTTAATATGAAAATTGAAAATTATCATCTGTTGCATTGGAATAATTATTTCAATGGACCTCCGCAGCCGAAATTCTCTACTCAAAAATCACAGGTTTCGGTAAGCCAATTACGTGAGTCATGAATTCTCGAAAAAGAGTAGAACTGACAGAATTTGTACCGGCGAAAATGGAGAATGGGAAAAGGGAAAAAAGATGCAGGTGAAAAATGAGAGAAAAAAAAATGACGTGAACGGCGAGAGTCCTCAGTCATGAAAAATAAAAATATGATCCCTTTGCCTGGGCTTCTGCTGGGGCAATTTCCGATGGTGAGGTCAGAATTAAAGTGGAAGTTTATTTAGGGGAACCTAGGACTCGTTTAAATGCGCACCGCTCACCCAGGACGAAGGTAATTGCGCGTTGGTAATGGCACCGGTGGCCCCTCCCGTACGATTAAGACAACTCTGGGAGCTTTTCGTATCCTCTATATTTTTTTTTATCCTCTCACGGTCATCCAAACTTTTTATCCACTTTCGGCTCCCTTGTTTTTCACGTACCTTGAAGAGAATCGAAATACCCAGGTTCATGAACGGCTTCGTGAAGTCGATGACGCTCTCCCGGGCGTAATTTATCGTCATTGATCCCACTGCCAGGTCTGCTTTCTGTGGAAATAGCAATTGTTTGTATTTTTACCTTTCGTCCGTCACGATTATTCAATTTTTTTGAAAATATCATAATGATCCTCGAGATCATTCATTCGGGAAATTATTATGAAAATTCAAGTTTTAAAAAGAAATCTCATATTATGCACGTAATTAATTTATCTGATGTGAAGACATTTTTGGAAATAAATAAATTATTAAAGAATTCTCTTAAAAATTTTAAATAATTCTCACGGAATTTTCAAAGTAAAAATTCGAGTGTTGTATCGATTTTTAAATCTTTTGCGACCAATGGAAATGATCAATAAATTATATTATAAATTATTAAAACCTACCACTACCCCGAATTAATCCATCAACTGAATAAACTAGCATTACACAATTTACATCACTGATTACAAAATAATATTTCTGTTCATTCTTTTCTTTACGCACTAGTTAAATAATTCAACTATTAAGTAATTGAGGACCAGAGTATTTTGAGGGAATCTACATTTAGCCCTAGATAAAACAGAATAAATACTAAATGCGAAATAAAAATAAAACCGAATTACTGTCTTAAGCCGATGAAATACCACCCACCCCACCCCCCACATCCCAGATAAGATAAACTTTTTTATTAAACGCATCACTTCCCCGGAAAATTCTCCCACATTTGTCCAGGTTTTTTTTTTCCACGTGGTTATGCAGTTTAATCGCCTCAACGCAGTTTCCAACAAGCCCTGGAGGAAATTAATGATGATCCAAGAAAATTAGTGCAACCTGTGATGGAGCACCGGTGCTTATGATGCATCGTGTACAGAAAAAGGAAAGGGTTGTATGAAGAAGGAAGAAACTGAATAAATTGAAGGAAAATCTCGGGCAGTTGGGGACGGAGTGATTTGTCACGCTTGAAAATCCCTGCAAGTCCACGTGAGATATAGAAAAAAATCTGGAGAGTAACAAAAAGAATAATGGAAAAAAATCAAATGGAGGGTGCCCAGCTGTAATTCACGTTTTCCATAATGCCTCGCCAAGCATCACCGATAATCGTGCACTCGCCAACACTCGCTTTCATTTCTCTTTTATTTTTTTCCTTTTTCCTCTGCTTTTCAGCCCTTTCTTTTGTCAATAGTCGGATAAATGCTTCACACTGGATTTACTTCATTATCATCTCACCCACTGTCCCCCACGATTCAATTAATTAATTATTAATTAATGTTGAAGTTATTTTAATTTGAGATTTTTCGAGTCACAAGTACTTTCAATAATTATAATCATCATTAAATGCAGGTGCTTGATGGTTGAAAATTTTTAATTTCGAATTATAAATCATTTTAATAACATTTTGAAAATAAGCCGTCACAAAAAAAAATTATTACCCACTTTCAAAAATTGTCAGAAAAAAAGATAAATCGCACGATTTTACCAAAAAAATTGGAAGTCCTCTCGAGTGATCGATGGGAATTTAATCAAAAGCTTTTTGATTGATTTTTTAAATTGAAAGGTGGAATAACGTTGTGGGTTTAATTGTATTTTTCGTTAGTTTTTTTTTTTCACGGAGCTTTGGGCAATCCGTACGGATTATCGTTGAAATGACGCGCCTGTACATGAAAGATATGGAATACCGTGTAATTTTTCCCAGCATTTTTCCACAATTTTGTCCGGAGGGCCTTGAAGATGTTTCAGGACGAAAATGAGGGAACACCGTGTCGGCAGGCTGTGAATGAAATCCTCGACGATCACTCTCTCTATTTTTCCAACTCCAGATCTCCTTTATATCCTCACTTGACCCCAGAACTTCACAATTTCTTCCCCTTCACTCTACCTTTCCTAATTGCAACTCCGTAGGTTGATTGCCAGAGAAGGAATTATTTCCTCGATTCATACTCCACCGTCAAAGACTCGTTACCACGAGTTATCCAAAAAATTTTTCAGCATTCCACCGTAATTTCCAAATCTCATTTTCAAGTTTCATGATTTATCGTATTTTTTTTTTCATTGGGCTCGTGAATGGTGAGAAATTAGCGAGTGCCTGTGGCGTTCCAAACTTCATGGAATATTCCCCGTTATTTTTCATTGGCGGGTATTCGTACACTCGTGGAAAAAAATTATTCAAGCCAATTAAATTCACTTGTGCTAGACAAATTTATTCGCGGCTAATGGTTAACAGGGGATTTCGTGTCCACAAACAAATCAATTTTAATTGGCAATTTATGATTTGAAATTGCGACTTCCTGGGGTTATGAATTGCGGATTTTAGTCTCGAGTTGAAACTTCCCGAAGTCTTCGAGAAACGCGTCAACAGAATAAAGCCACTCTAATAAAATACCGAGACTCGCAAAATTTTCACATTTCAAAGAGGGTGAAATTATTTGCATTGGGAAATCGAGGGGTTGAGGTATACCGAGGCAACAGAGAGGGTGGATTCATGGATTTTAATCGGGGGTACGAAGAGACGACGAGGTTCACATGCAGAATTCATCTCTTACAAACAAGAAAAAGTGGACGAAGAACGAAAAAATATAATAATGACAGAATTTGCCAAATTGATTTGTTGAAATTTTTTAAATGAAGAAAATAGTGCACATACCTTATCCATCAACTGACGCACAATTCCATTCCACTCGCCGGTCTCGTAATCGTAAACACCGTACTTGCCATCGGGTACTAGTTCAATTCTGTACGTGAATCCCACCATACGTGCTATCTCCCTGAGCAGATCGATGCAGAATCCCTCGTAACGTTCATTACCACTGAAATTTCCCGAGTTCCTCAGCATAACGTATGGCTGTTCCTAAGAGAATCATAAAAAAGAATACTTCCAACAACTCGTTTACCCTTGTATCCATCACAGCCACTGTAAATCCTCGTTAGTCCCATATTCCTTTACGATTTTTCATGTTACTCTCCACATAACTCTTTATACCGATAGTAAAAAAATCCCGTAGCAAATTCACTCCAAGTAAAAACCTCGAATTATATCAAATAATAAACTACTGAAGACAGAAATACTCAACGCCTAGCGACCACTTCTAATAATTGAGACTAAATTATTAGCGACTCATCAATGTTCATCAACGTTTAGAGCAGGTTTTAGATTAAAATTTTAAAGGGATTTTAGATAATGCACATGGGGGGTGAAGCCTAGGATAATTTACTGCCTAACATTGAGATATTGGGGACTGGGGGGCGTGGATGGAAATTAAAAAAAAAATGAAAAAACAAACCAAATCATACATGTCGCATGAGTTCACGGACCATTCCATTCCATTCGCCCGTCTCAGGATCTTGTGCACCGTATTTACGATCAGGTACTAATTCCAGACGATAGGTGAAGCCTACTTCTTGTGCCACTGCCTTCAGCAGATCCATACAAAAACCGTAAAATCGATTGTTACCGGTGTAGTTTTTTTCGTGGTGCATCATCACGTAAGGTCGCTCCTGTTTATCCAAATAATTTCATTGGTCTCACATTATTTTTTCATTGACATCAGGATAATCGGAATTGAAAAACCAAACTGCAGAAAAAGGGGGAGAATCCACGGGAATTTATTGAATACTCAGTGGGTGAATTTAATTGTATTAATAATTAGGGGATGGTGGAATTGATAGACTGGCGAATTGTAAATTTCTCCAGTCATTGGTGGATTTAAAATAAATAGGGAGAGGATGATTTCGTAGTGGAAATAAATGGGCATTGTTTAAACTGAAATGTTTTTTGTGATGATTCAATCCTGGAGAATGGACGACGCAATTTTAATTGGAATATTCACGAGGGAATTAATCCATTCGAGTCCAGTGAATTATTTCCTCTTCGATCGTGATAGGTTCCGGTTCTCTCTAAGGTTCATTAATGGCCCCAGGTACGGAGGTAAACGAGGTTAATATAGGTGGTGCGTGATATAATGTCGAAATGTGGTAAATTCTCAGGCTTCCCATATGCAAAATCCCTTACCCACCCCTTTCTTCATCCAATGCCTAACGAAGTCGTTTGTTAATCCGAGGATTTGATTTCCCCCGAGCAAATCGCGAGGAAAATCGTACTAACGATAAATTTTGATAATTCCAATTAATAATTGAGTTGTTAATTGAGAAATTTTGGTATTGCTAAATGGATTTATCTAGCTCTGTGAAATTTTCTGTTGAATTAAATAATTTTTCTGTTATGGGGTTGACATTTAATCAGATGAATTATTGGTTATAAAATATTTACGGATGGAGAGTGGTGAAAAGTTATTTTTTTTGTTGAGGCAAACAATTAGATGGGAAAAAGGGCGAATTTATGGGGTAAAATGCATAAATAAAAGTTGATTCGGGGGGAGTTGAAGTGCGATACTGGATGTAAATTTTGCGAGGGAATTTTCCATTGAGACACATTCATAGTCACCTCCTACCTCCCCACGGAATCGTATAAACTATGAAGCACTTGAAATGTGCACACGGTGTCGTACCGAATAACCATTTACTGCGTTGTCTGTATAGCAAATGCTCGTAAATCCGAAATACGCGTCCACAGAAATATCCCACCTATACATAGATTTTTTTATTTAACACTTCTCCTAGAAGTCAATTGTACCTCTTCTACTCGCACTAGGGTCGTTATATTCTAGGGAGCTCGACGAGGCACTTCCTTTTTATTTTGCCTTTTTATTTTTACATTTTTTTTTTGGCTGGATGGAATAAATGGCGGCTTTAACAGGTGTGCGACCGTAATTACTCATTGAAGGAAATCGAATTCTTCTGTGAAAGTATTGGAGATATTTTTTTATAATTTCAACACAATGTCGGCGAATTGTTTTACTACTTTCGTACGGAATTCGAGTTATTTCTGACGTTGAATGAACTATTGATGGGGATTCTAAGACTTTTGGTGGTACATACCAGGATTGTAATGACGATTAAAGTCACGTTGACTGTTCCGGGCTCGAAAAAAGCACCACCGTCCGTGATGTTGACCCCAAGTCCAGGTCTCCATTCTCCCACCTCAAAAGAATTTTCATTAATATGTAAATTGAATTTCTTAATTCTTGGATCAAAATTCATGAGACATTTTTTATGATGTAGGACATTCCGTACTCTCTACTACTTGCAAGTGAAAAAATTTGTTAATCGTACAAAAAAAAATACATTTTCAGTCCAATCCAATGAATTTAATGTTAATTAAATAATTAACGACTTATCCACATGAATTTTCCGAATTGTTATAAATTTTCGAAGAATTGGGAGAATTAGGAAATGAATTTTGATTTTGATTTTTGTTTTGTGGTTTTTGATTTTTAATGATTATTTTTAAAAACCGTGAGGTTTTGAGTGAATTCGAGTTTTAATTTATTCACTTTAACCAGCGAGTGTTGTTTCAGCTTGAGCAAGTCCAACTTGAATTGAATCCTCCTGCCCTCCTTGAACTCGATGGGCCCCGACAATCCCTTCATCTCCACCTGCAACATAACGATCAAACATCCTTAAACCCGTCGAATCGAGAATACGTGAAAAATCGTGCTCAAAAAGTCGTTATCGCAATCTGCTCTCAATACTCATGATCGATTAGCGATAACTGCATCTGGCCGAGACTCGATAGGGATGATCCCTCTTATATACTTTTTGACTCGAAGAGAACTCGAGGAAAGAGCAAAAGAGGGGACTCCCAAAAGGATTGCCACGACTCGATGTTTCAATCCACCAGAGGCGCGCTCCATGTTTTTTCTCAAGGAATTGGCAATTTTAAATCCGCATATCGAACTTCAACGGGAAAAATGAAGGGTGAAGTCGGAAGCTAGTAAAGTTTTCGTATGCGTCGGGAAGATAAAAATAAAGGAAAATTTACTGAAAGAAAATCGTTGCGGAAAAAAAAAGCGGCTGATGTGGAAAATGTGGACGAAGGAAAAAAAACGGGTGTACGAGTCGTAAAGTTTGGAGGCGTGTGATAAAGTGGAATGAACTCGAAATATAAAATCCAGGAATGATAGTCATGCTGGGACGTCGTTGGTATAATTTGTTAGGAGTGTCTTCCCCGCGTTAAATCCCGTCTCTTCTGGGTTACAAGGCTGTCATCCCACTCCATTATACTCGGGTATCTCTTTCGGACGCGCCAGGAATATGAGCCCCTCTTGACTCACTTTCCAGGCTTAGGGGACACTGCCATGTCCTGTTTCTCGGATTCAACCCAAAACTCCTTTTACGCCGAGCTTCTCCTTTTTTTTTTCACTTTTTATTCTCCTATTTTTCGCTCCTTTCCACGCCCGGCACGAGGCGCCAAATCTAATGTCAACCACCCCGGGTACAAAAAATTGTAATCGGAATATTTTTTACAAATTTTCAAAAAATTTCTGGAAATCTTTTTACAGAATTTTTTTTTTGAACCAGACAAAATTTTTTCTGAAAAGTTTTCCAGAAATTTTTTGAAAATTTGGAAAAAATATTCTGTTTAAATTTTTTTTTTACCCGAGACATGCCACAGCCCCTTATCCTTATATATTTCCACATTCTTTATTTCACTCCCGAATTCTCCTTATTCCATTATTCCGAAAAATACAAATCAATAAAAAAAATACTGTGAAAGTAAAAATAATTGATCTAGACCGGAGGGAAATTGAGGGAAACGAAAAGTCAACGACTTTTTCCTAGGAAAATTGAAAGATCAGAGGAGCAAGAAAGGTATTCAGCGTTCGCTGACTGAAACAACCAAAGCGAATTGAAACTTGGATTACAAGTAAGGTCATAAATTAAGGAGGAACCGGTTACTGTTCCACTTGAGGACAAAACTTGGTAGCTTTCGAAGCTGGTTAGAGTGCCAAGAGGACGATGTTGTCGTAGTACTGGCAAAATCCACTCCACCCTTTCCACCCTTTCCCACCCTCTCACCCTTCCTCCACTCAAACTCCAACCCTTTATACCATATCAGAAATTCACGTGCCGTGGTGTTAAGTTGGCTTGAGTAGGTAAACGGTCGAGGATCAAAAGTGGCTGCAAACCTCATTTACCAGAGGGAAAAGGTCAGCTGCCCTTTCTTCTCCCTTACCCTTTTTCCACTCAATTGTTCCTCTGGCATCTCCTCACTCTTCCACAATCTTATCACCTCGAGCCATTGAACACCCACTATTTCACACAACAATTCCTATAAATCAACAATCTTGTCTTAATAAACAAAATTGCATTATGTTCGATGCACGCGAAAAATTGAACTCAAATAAAAAAAATCTCGATGTCATATTAATAGATAATTAATTTTGATGAACGAGTGATTTATTGCGAAAAGTACAATGGGAGATCAATAAAAAAGGAATGAGAGGAGAAAAGGAATTAGATGAGCGTTCGGTCAGACGTAATTTATTCGGGAGTTCTCGTCGTCGAGTTTTTGCAGTGCACACGTGCAGAAGTTATCACGACAAATTTGATAGAACATCTCTGAATGCAGATACTCTGTATTCAGGCAGTGGGTTATAAGCGCAATCCAGGATCAGATAGCTGGTGCATGTAGATATCGTCACCATGGAGCCACTGATCATTGTCCTGTCCCTTCGAGCTGGGGCTCGACCATGGGGCATTCTCCATGGCAATTACTTCTCGTTTGGTTCAATTAAGCCAGAAGGTAGGGGACACAACATTTCGCCCGTTAGAGAGACCAGTAAATTCGATATGGATGCAGAGAGAATGGATTTGGAGATGCTATCGGGGTGTAGTTGCCCTTTTGCCCAATTTTTCACTAGTTTTTTCATTCGAAACAACTCACTGTGGAATTATCCGCCTTTTGGTTTCACTGCAATTTTATTTTCTGGAATGATTTGGAATTTTCTGAAATTTTCTGGAATCAGTGGTAATGGCAGACTTGAGTGGCGTGTGATAATCTCTGGATAATCCTCTTGGCGTAACTGATAGGTCTCTGTCTATCCACCAATTTGAAAATCCATCGTATCATCAGCACTTGTGTTTCAATGCATTTGAACATCCATTGGCACTTCTCGCAGTTTCTCCAATCGTCTCGCTCAATTTTCCACCTCAGTTTGCACCTAGTACTTCCTAAGTACAGGCTGAGTAATACGCATACACCACTGGAGACATGCACTTGGCAACTCGACACGTTCTACCATGAATTCCACATTCGATCAGCGCGTTACAACTCCCATAGAATACGTAATACTGAATCGCCGGAGGTGAGAAACGTGTATGTTAATTATTTCCGGAGGGTAATGTTAATTAGAATGTAGATTTAAAATTCCTGTAGATTGCGAAGATTTTTTTTGAGGATTTTCATATTTTTTTATTGAAAACTTCCACTTTTTCTCTGATATTCGAGTATCAAAAAAATCAATTCCTGCCAATGGACTTTTATTCGTCGCGACGTACTAGTCGGCTTAATTTTTTCAAATTGTCGAGTGTCCGAAAAACTGGGCACAGTGTGATATTACACGTGCTTGTTTTTTTTTTTTTTTTTCACTGAAATAAAAACCGGAGAATAGCACTCAACAAAATGGTAGTTGTTTGAAATGCACGAGTGGAGAGCGAAGTCACAGCAAGAATAGACAAAATACATATGCATGGAGGTGTGCATCTGGGGTGTACCTTAGCATTACCATAATTATAATTTTCATGGCAACTGTACGGCACTCATAAATGAGATTAATCCGGGAAATATCTAATTAAACGAAACTGGCAGGCGGTGTAGTTCAATCTGTAAGTCGAAAATTACCGGAACTCCACCGAAAAAAAAAAACGTCACTATCCAATATTAATATTAATTAAAAGAATATTAATAAACATATTAAAGAAGAGTTGAAAAAATGAAAAGATGAGAAAGATGAAAAATTCCTCGGGCTTTTCCAGAGTCTTAAGGACTTACTGTTCACAATTTCAAGATAAAAATATATTCATTTTTCTTTTTAAAATGAATCGAGATTTATACCGGGATATTTCTATGGAAATTAATTACAACTGGTGGGTTTTTCGGTGTGCGATATATCATCTCTTAAGGTTGAGAATAACTGTATTGGGGGTGGAAGGAGGGTCACTCTACGGCAAGAGGATTGTACGACGTCATGAGATGGAATTTGTGGTTCCTGTCCATGACAGCTCTTGCACCATTCATTATGCGGTATTAAACAATTTATCTGGTACGAGGCTCAAGTGTTACGCTGCAAAGCTCCAGCGAGGACACTAGTACCCCAAAAATAATTGGCAATTTCTTAATCCAGTGGGCAAATACCTGACGTGAAAATATGGAGGTCACAATTTTTCAATCATTATCTTATCAATCCTCAAAAAAAAATTCTGAACGGATAAAAAATTTTAATTCAATACAACGATATAATCAGTATTAATATTTCGAGTTGATATTGGTCCTGAATAGACACTGGGGTGCAATCTAAAATGAAAAAATCATAATTCAAGCAAAATAGATTGTTAAGGTCACCTAGAAAATTTTCCAATAAATTCTTCGCAGCAGCAAACGAATGCCCGTGATATCCCGCGTTTTGGATTCCCGCCAAATCTCTCAACTGTAATTCACCCTTACAACTAAAATCCACCGCTATATGGTCATCCCCATCATTCCATTCAGACCCGCAGGCTCTTATACCACTTGCCCACATAAAAATCGACGTTTTATCTTTTTTCCCATTCCTCCTATCGAATTCTCCGTGAAAGAATTCAATTGAAAACTCACCGAGTTGATGTAGTTGATGAGAGAGAGGCCACCATCCCAGGGATGTTCGGCCTCGCAGGAGAGATTTGCAGGCCTCAGGGTATGAGACTGCTCCAGGGTGCGCAAACCAACGGCAAATACTTGTACACTGTCGTATATTAAAGCAGGTTCTGCCTGAAAAAAAAAACAAACTGTTATCACTCCGACGTATGACTGCAACGGGTTAATCGATCGATTATCGATTATGCCCGGGGATTAAACGGCTTAATTTTGGGAGAATTGCCTCAATGTCAGAGACGAAGAATAATGAAAGCTGACAGGGCCAGGAGCGGAGGAAAATAAACTTTTGACATAGTCATATCCTTTCTATTTCCCGTAAACTTCTCCACCGCAAAAATCCACCATTTCAGGTGCATTAATCCCTGGAGTCTTATTCAGTCCCTCTCACTTTCACTCGGTCGGAGGAAAACACAGACTTAAACTGCATCATCGTACTTTTTCATTCCATCCTTCCCTCGGTACTCCATTAAAACAATTCTTCATCTCACAAGTCTCGTAACTCATCCCTTTGTCTTTTCCAACCGAGAAACATTCAACTCCGGAGAATTCAGGAATAAGAATTATTCAGCATAAACTTTTCGCGTTTGGAGACAGTTTACTGAGGTAACAATCGTGGGATTGCTGATCATTGTGAAGAATCGCTAGAAATCATGCAAGATGGGGAAACTAATTGAGGGATGGAGGTACACCTGCAATTACATCGGATGTGGCGCTCTGTTTGCTTGTCCTTGTCGAAAGGGATAACACAGAACTTGGAGATAACAGGGAAATTTCAATTTGTATGCAGCTGTCCATCACCATCATCAGGTCTTTCCTGTTTGCCATTGAAGTTATAACGAACACCCTGACGCTAGGTAATTTCAAATGCAGTTCACCAGTAGATGTGGTCAAATACTGCAGGGTCTTGTTGGTTAACTTGAGAGAATTTTAGAGGATTGTTTCAAAGGTTCATTCAAGTTATTCGAGGATAAAGACAAAATCTGAAGATTCAACGAATAAATAAGTGATTTTATATTCATAAATATTCAAGGATCCGTTCTGGGCCGATGTCACAATTATTTGGCATCTTTCCATCAGTAAATATAATGTTGTAATTTTTTTTTTGCACTGACTAATTGGAGTCGTTTAATTAGCGTCGAGTTCTGATTCTCGTTACGCCGGAAATATGACTCGTGTCCAGGTTCTCTTTCACTTTAACTGGGAAGAGTTTTTTTTATTTTTCTAGCTCATGATTTTAGCTCAATTCGGGTCAAGGAAGACAGAAGAATTTATTTCATTTAGCGATTCGGTTAATTTTTTAATTTGAATTTGACTATTTCATTGTAATCACTATTTTTTGTTGGTTTGTAGTTGAAGGTGGTGAGCATTTGCCATCAGACAATAAGGAAGTGGAAATGGCCTGTCAAGTTTACGAGGTGCTGTTTAAATTGGCGAAAAAAAAGCCTTAAGGGTTGGTGGAACTTTGCTGTGGGATTAACTAGTATTTCTGAGTGGAGAACTTTCGATACTCCGAGAGTTTCCAACTCAGAGGCCAAAACAGGATTGAGATGTTTAACTCGACTCACGCGAATTCGAGAGCAACGAAATTGATACGTGTCAATTAATTATTTTTTATCAAGATTATTCTCATTGTAAATAAAATTATTCAAAAAATATTGCACGATACTAGAGTGTGTTAAAGAACTTCTACATCACTTCGTCCATCGAAAATGTCAGTTGCTCGGTATCTTTGAAATATCATCTGTCCTTATTTTTTTCCTTATTTTCTCTTATTAACTTCCTTACGTCACTCGGGATAAAGAATTAGCATTTAGAGTGGAATGCAAAGGTAGGCAAAATATATGGTGATAAAATGCAGTCTAGTCTTGACATCGATTGAATATCAATATCCAGTTGGATACGAAAGAAATCCAACAGAACAAATTGACACTCTTCTCGTCGACAAATAATTGATTTAAACATTTTCCAAATGACCAATTATGGCGTTATGTCATTTTGAAATTAATTCTATTTCCGGAGTACATTAAAAATAATGCACCGATTGTTTAAATTAATGAGTTGAGAAACGTGTCGGTGGTTTGGAGCGTCAGGTCATTGACATCTCGGGTGTGACAGATTTTTATTCACCGGAATGAAAAGCCAGTTGCATTTTGCCATGGACAATGGGAAAATGGTGAACCGAATCACTGACGCTCGTCACCGAAAAATGTACCAAACGTTGCCAACGATTCCACGACTAAATCACCCTTCCAGCCACTTTTTTCAACTCTCATTTTTACTCTATAACTCCGGATGCCTAGATACCCCTCGACGTGAGAAAATAAAATAATAAAACCCAGTGTGAGTGCGAGATAGTCTGATTTACAGCACAAATGTCCAGGGGTTATCCCATTCCCACTTTAGTTTCAAGGAAATTCGGTGATTTACAACCACTACTCCCTGACTCCAAAGTATATGCACAGTTCGAAAAAAAAGTTTTACTCAACGCTCAAGAGTCACCGCCATTTGCATAATGCGCTTGAATCGTGGAATTGATCGATCAATTAGAATAAATATTTCCATTTTTACCAAAAAATTAATAAATAACCAGAAATTTTTGTAAAGTATAGAAGAGAAATTAAGACGCGCATTAGCTTTTTTTTTTAGATAAAAAAGGTATTTTTAGGTTCCAAGAGAGTTACTGGATTCTAGGTGAAAATTAATGAGCGGGAATTCCCGGGAATAAATGACTTTTTCACTTGCTCCAAAGATATTTCTCTTGAAGCAAGAAAAAAAGAACTCTCAAGCTCTATAATTGATCCACTAAATTCAAGGGAATTGCGCTGAAAGTAGAAAGTAATGTTTCTTATTTCTAGAAATTTCAGGGTCTTGAATGGAGGACCTGTTGTTCCCAGCGGTATTTCCAAATTTCAAAACGCAAAATGGCAAAAATAATTTTTCCTTATCAAGCTGAAATTCCCTCAAATCGCGTGAATCTTCTGTACAATAAAAAAATACAATGGCAAATAAAATTACATATTAAAAATATTGCATATTAAAAAAATCAAGAAGCAACGACAGAAATTTTAGCAAAAGTAATTTTCTCCCCATCCGACCAGTGGTTACTCCCACTATGTAATCAGCCCTGCCATCTGCCCCAGTTTCTCCAATTCATGTCATCCATAATTTTCCCAGCGGCTTATTTACCCCCGGCAATTTGTTTTTTTATCGTTTTTTTTTCTCCACTGTATTGTTCATGGAAAAAGTTATTGGATAAGAGATGAATGCAGAGCGAAGCGCAAAAAGTAGAAGAATTGAACGAAATCAGTATGCGACCGGGATATTCCCTTCAGTTATAACAAATTCTTTTTTTTTTAACCACCAATTCGTTCCACTCCCGAGAAAATAGAAACTTCATATTCTTTTTCTTATTCACTCGTGTCAATCGTGCGTGCTCTTCCGTCCTGTTGGCATCTACTGTATTTCTGCACTGCGGAGAGATTCCGGGATTGTATCCATGCACTTTCCCCCTTTTCACCACTCTCCCTCCATCCTACCTCCCTCCTACCTCTTTCCACCCTCTTTCCACCCTCTTTCCACCATCTTTCCACCCCCTCTCCTCCCTTCATCGCGATCATTGCGTGTCCATGAGACTCGTACCGATGCACTTTTTTCCCTTCCCTTCGTTCTTTATAAATTTTTTTTTTTCACATTCTTTTTTTTCCTCCAGTTTAACCAGCTACTTTTTCTTCGTTCCCGTTGATTGTGGTCGCACTTTTTCTTCCACCCATTCCCCCCTCGGGCAAACTCGGTCGTTTAACTCGTGCGAAAATAAAACCCGGGAAATATAAATAGAAGAATGAAAATGCTTCATTGGATGTGCGATTTTTTCCAGGCATTGAATCGGGGAGCTCGGAATTTAAAAAAAATGGATGAAATTTTGGGGACTAGGACAGTGTCTTGAAAGACCAATGTCCGGAATATTAAAATAATCTGTAATGGGGCAGCGGATTCAGGACAATTTCGTCTTTTTAGGGATTCCTGATAACATCCATGAGTTTTACGATTTCTGGGATTTCCTAGTCCCTGCCATTCGGAACAAATAGTCAATTCAGTCCTTTATCGATTATTGATCTCTGGATTTATGGGAAAATTATTGTAATCACTCTGAATAGTGAATCTCATTTTATCACTGGATTTTACGGCAACGAGGGGTACATCCCAAAAAGTGAGGATGACATGAATTTAATTCCAAATTGTCCCGAGACGATTTCCAACGGAAAAAATTGAAAGAACTTTTCCGAATATTTTTCCAGTTTCATTGAAAATTGAAAGATCAGGGACACTTTGCCCATTGTAAATAATTAATTCGACATCATCAAGTACTCGTGAGCTCGGGAAACCTCGGATTTTCGTAATGGCACGAAATGAAGTCTCGAGGGAATTGAATAATTAATGCGAAGGAAATTAATGTGATTTACGTCGTGGTGATGCACAGATAGAAACACGTAGAATCACGAGGTACAATATAATCTCATGAAAAGGTTTAACGTCTCGACTCACCTGAATAACACGTGATTTATTGAGCACAGTGTTTCCAGCTGGCTGAAAGCGCTCCATGTCTCTCAGTATTCCCCTGACTCCAATGTCGTCAGCGTCGACTAATCGAAAGGCAGTGATGTTGACAAAATTGTACTTGAAATCCTCGAGATCGAACGTTTCAATATCCTGAAGAGAACGAATAAATTGAAATTCAATGGGAATTCATCAATACACTATTGTTGACATTTATTGCCACTCAGGGTTATACAATTGGTACTCACAAAAGTTGTGAAGAGGTAGTGGTACTTGTAATCATTCATTTGCATTTGGATTATCTGGAATTTTTAATGAATAATTATTATGAATTTTTCGGTGAAATATGGTAATTGGTAATCTTCGGGAGAGAGAGACTGAATAATTAATTAATTTCGTGAAGATGGAAAGTGAGAAATTCAAGGGATTACTCAGAATAATAAATGTAATGGACCATTCGTAAAAAATGCTGCATGTGTTCAGGCTTGGTGTCAACGATAAAATTTCTGATCTCTTTGCTCTTGATATCAGTCAGGACACGTCCATATGAATCAGGATCAGCCTGTCTGAGATGTACCTCAAGTTCCGGTGACTTCGGGGTTTTAACCAAGTCCCTCAGCTTCAGGAGACCTGTAAAACATAAACCAAAACGAAATAAAAAAAAAATAATCCCAACACCGAGAAACGGGGAGTAGTTTACTCTCGGTTCGTATCTCTCACTTGGATTGCAGGACCGAGAAGAAGGTTTTACTGCTCGTATTTTCCTCAGTACAACCGTGAAGGGGTGTAAAATGAGGGGTGATAGGTAGAGAAGAAAAAAATCTATCAATTTTGCTCAACATTTGTTAAATCGAGAATATGAATTCTGGAATTGTAAATAGAAATTTCCGAATGAGTTAATTCTCGAGTTGAGCTTTCGTATCGATAATAAAATAAACCCGAATGGAGTTTATTTATTTTTTATGCATTGTGGGGTGGAAGGATCGTTAAATGGAAAAGGAAACCCGTAAACGACACCCGATGAAATCGATACGACGATGGGTGGGTGACTGAGTAATCAAGGTATCATCTCGACTTGTGGGTCTTCCTCTCTTCGATCTCTTGACTTTTACTTTTCACTGACGTGTAGACATCGCTTCACCATGAGAGTGACCCTCCCCCTCTTCACCCGGGTCAATCAAGAGGGTGGTGCAGGTAGGGTGGACCTCCAAGGGATTCACAACGATTTCGTTTTATCCGACATCAGCAAGGGATAAGGGCGATTGTGTGGGGTTGTGTCTACAATACCTCGATGGCTGATAGTTTATTTTTTCTCACCACAAGTCTGATCGAAACCAGTCGAAGTGATAGTCTCCAGTGGCACTTCCGGTGGCACTGTTAATCGGTGTCCACCGAAGTCCCCCGAGGGGAATTACAGGAGCGGAGATTTAAGTTTAACGGAAGTTCGAGGACTATTGGGGGAGATTACTCCGGGTATTGGTTTGGTTCGAACAAGACTCACCTGAGGGAAAACACTGAATTCATATTTTGAATTTTCATCCCGAAATTTTTGGAAAATGGGAAAAATTATCTCGAGCCCTTTGAAAACAGTTAAATCTTCCTAATCTCCTCTAAATGATCCGTAAATCCTGTATTGACAGCAAACGAGTAATTGGTAATCAGGGGATTGCCATTGGTTTCTCCTCCCAAATCGATTTATAATCCTGTGTATTTGTCAATCGCCTAAAGTACATACTAATTCCACCCATCGATAGATCCTCGGGCTGGTTTTCCAGTTCATTGCAGTGTACATCTCGTTTCGCTCTGTTCGTCAATTTACCGATACACAACGTGACACTTACCATCGAGCAAGTTCCACTCGGTGAAACGAATAGAGAGGCAATGATAAAACATCCGGATTTGATGTATCGTCCAATTATATTTATCTATGCTATCGTCATTCATCGGGAAGAAAAAGAAATTGAAAGGAGAGGGAATGGAGCACTGTCGAATCAGCCACGATAAATAAAAGTAAACGTATCGAGAAAATCCGATAACTCCAGCTGTGTCGGGATTCCTGTGCTAAGGAGAACGTCCGAGATAATTGGCTGAATCGTCTTCTTGCCAGGGAGAAAGACAGAAAGGTGAAAAAAAAAACGCTAAAGTCCCTCTCTCACTACTCGGAAAACGGATAATTTCTCTCGGGACATTTTCCCCGAGAAAATGCCCCCGGGGAATTTTCGCCAAAAAACCGTGACTTTCCACATTAATTTTTTCACCTAATCGGAATATATTTCCGGTCAAAAAGAGAGTTTAATGAATTTCTAAAAATTTCCAGATTTCTCCCAGAATTCAATTCCCGTTAATTTTATTTCTGGAGGAATTTTCTCTGGTGCCGTCCGTGAAATCAAATATTGAGTCACTGTTTCTGTCGACGAATTAGCAATCCGCTTTTGATTGGACAAACGAAATATTTCATGACTAAATATTTGTACGGCGAAGGGAGCAGAATTAATTATGTCCGCCAGTCTAGAATTGTTTTTGTAAAACCCGTATCATAAAAAAAGTATTTTTCCTTGTATCGAGAAGAATTATTATTAGATATATTTTTTTTTAATCGGTTGAAACGTTCGTCTCTAACAATAAACGATAATGGAGAGAGAATTCATTGGCTATTCCTGGGGCATAAGTGAGGGTTGCAGGGGGTGGTGGGTTGTCTGTTAAAAAACCTGAGATAGACGACAATTCATGACTTGGATATCGGCCACGTTCTGTCGAAGAATTCGGGAGTAATATTGGAAAAAGTCTTTTCGTTTCACCACAATAACGGAATATCACTCGTGCAAGGGCAGAGAGGCAGGAGTTTATGGCTGTGTGTAAAAAAAAATTGAACAGCCCAAATAGATAATGAATTCTAGTCACTGACTGCACTATATCAATTGAATTTTCGCGGCAAATGTTCGATTGATCAATACAGATTCAATTATTTCGCTACAGATATTTCGTAATTGTGACAATCTGCCCTGCGATTGACGGAAATCAGTCTTGGCGCCTGTGAGATATTCTCTCCCAGAAATCTTTATTGAAACTGTGGAAGAGGATTTCTTTTCACTAAATTCGCTGGAGTAAGATCTTTATCCTCATGAATAATATTCAATCCGCGATAGCTGCCGGAGAGACAGACGTGGAATGACGAATCAGTGGGAATTTGAGAATCCCAGGCATCAAAAGGGATAACACGTGATTAAAGATCAGACGAAGAATTTTCAGATTAATAATCTCATTGAGAAAATTATGAAAAGACTAATGAGCGATTCGGATATTCCGCGAAAAAATTCAGCGAAAATTATATCCCGAGAATATCGGAATAAGATGTGAATTTAATTGAATAAAATCTCTTGAATCTCTTGAATTTTCTAGCCAGTCAATCCGAATTTAATTTTTCAATTTTTAGAAGGGGATTAATAATCGCAGCAGTTGGTAATAAAAATTAATGTTTGGATGATGTAATATTGTGACTTTTCACGGGAATAATAATTTTATCTGTGATATATACTATTTTATAAACCATTTTGACTTTCTCCCAACCGTAAACCTCCGGATGCTTCCAGATATTCTCATTGAAACAACGGAATTGGATTTTCCTCGCTAAATCCCCAGCAATAAGCCTTCATCCTCATGAATAATATTCAATCTCTGATGCTTCTTTATGCTTTTATCAAAATAAAAACCCAAATGACGCTTTCGTGAACATCAACATTTAAGAGATCAATATCTGAATTATTTATAAAACATTCATACCTGAAAAAAAATATCACAAAAATACTGAGATAAAGTGGAAAATCGACAAGTCCCGTATATATTTTCAAAAAATAAAATCAAATACTCAATTCTTTCACATTAAATGATAATAAAATGCGGATGAGAAAGATTAATCCGGCTATTGTTTAACTATATCCGGGCGTATTAATTACAAATTGAAATAATTCGTCGATAAATAAAAAGGAGGTAAAAAAAAACCGCGTAATGAGCATAAAAATTGGCGATATCGATCCCCGAATTTACAAAAAATTTTGATGATAAGAAAAAAATAGTCGAAAGGAGATAGAGAGATGAAAATAATTTTCATGGTCTCCTGGGAATCGGGGAAAATCGAATTTGGGTGGTGAAAATACATAGGGGGTATGAAGACCTCGAAAATTCCACCACCAAGTAAATACCCAGTGGAATGGTACAGTGCGTACATACGTGGATACTAGTAGAACTTGCCTAAGGGATCAAATAAATAAATCGAATCATCCGTGCGACTATAGTGTACACACTATCTTCTATCCTCGAGCATTTTCTTTTTTTTTTCTCCTTTTAGTTTTCTCTGTTTACACAGGCGCGAAGGCAAACGCCATTTCATCACACTCGACTAATAAATTTCGGGGGTTTGTACGACAGTTAAAAACTTGGTTTACGACGCCATTTGTGTTGGATGAGGGGAAATTTTGGAGTAACAAGCGACATGGGAAATGGCAGGAGAAAAGTTTCTTCTGACTCGTCAAAAGCACTCGCACAACAAGTCATTCTTGGTTTCTCGGGGTAGATGAGTCGATGAAATTGAGGGGTGTAAAATCAGAAGGGCTAAATACTTCTCGGAAATATAAATGAGGATATGAGCGTATAAATGACTCGATTAAAAACTGATTGCGATTTTTTTTAATATCGCAAATGCACTGTGGGAAGGAAAATTAATTTCAGCGGCATTTAAAAATAAAAGTTCATTCCGTAAGTCGTTTTTAAGGTTCAGATTCTCGGAAGTCCCCTGAGTCTTACTTCAAACGCGAAAGTTGGATGAATGTGTGTGTTTGTTGTGGGTTAAACTGTTTTAGCTGTTGAGATAATTTCAGGGAAACTGGCGAGGTGAAAATCTGGGAAATACCTTCGAAAATCTGGTCTACCCTCACCCATTACTCTCGTGTGGAATCCTTGAGGTTGAAGTCTGCCAGAGTTGGTGATAGTCCTTAAAACTTGAAATTATATTTTCGACTAAATGGGAAACTCTAGTTCTGTCAAATCCACTCATTCATGCGGTTCCATCACCCGGATAAATAAATATAAACAAATCCCCACGATTAGAAGGAACGATTTTTTTTTAGTGAACAATCGAAGAGTTGAAAAAATTGTTGAGATAAAATTTCGGGAAGATTCACCACCGGTGGTCAACTTGATTCAGAAAAATAGAAAATAAATATTGTGTGCGAGAAAAATTCAGAAAATTTTTTAAAAAATTTTTAATGGAAAAACACTGGTCTTGAGGGAGGTAGGGTTCCCCGGGTTGAGAAAAACAATATTCGTCTCGGTAATAACCAACGGCAGTGACAAAAAGACAGTTGAGAAAGGAAGAGAAATATCAGTGGATCCTGTCTCGACTGGAGAACAAGTCGGACAAGTCTCGGTTGGTGTACGCAGGATATCCCCAGTAGGAAGGACTTCACGAACCGAGAAATACGCGATTTCGTAGTGGGAACCTCGTAAATTCTGAACGTGCGGCAGTTCGGGGCGGACGTTTTAATCGACATGTACGCGATTCCCATCGTATCCTCTTAGGATGGAAAATGACTTTGAAAATTAAGCCATCTCATATTTTTACCAGGACTACAGCGAAACTTTAATTAAACGGTCTCCAAAAACCCATAAAAAGATCAGAAGATATTACAGAATTTATGTTAGTATAATTGATTATTGCGGCACTCGCAATTTTCAAGTAATAACTCCAATTAATTTATAAGCGAGTAATTAAAATGTTCAAAAAACGCGAATTAAATCAGGAGTAATAAATTGATAAATAATTTATTTCCTCCAATTCTAAAATCAGTTGAGTGATATATTGATGAGAATAATTGTCATATTGTTCATGGAGTGTCAATAGATTGGGAATAGTTTATCGGTGTGAGTGTTAAGTCGAGGACATTAATTATCAACCCCCGGCGTAAGCTATTCACATCTAAAAAGAAGAAATGAACAATTTATCACCAATCGGAAGACATCAATCAATCCATAATAACCGTAATCTCACTCCATAAATAAGTCCGAGGAACTCGGGTATCTAACGATAGTTGCAGTCTTCTGAAAACTTAACGAGCACCGTATATACATATATACCGTCACGGTATATACTCTTTCATCCATAGAAAAGCTCTCCCGAGTCGTCGCAAGTGACGTTCATGAAAAATAGATTCCAGCATTCTATTCTGCTGTCCTCCATCCGAAGAAAATCGGTTGGAAGTTCAACTAAAAACGAAAAGGTCACTATTGACGTCATTATCGCGGAGATTATTCCGTCACTCCAGTGATATTTAATTGAGGATAAAA